GTGTCTGGCTTCTCCAGGCTTGCTCAGACACAGCAGTAAGGCCAACACCATGTATTACCTATCTTGAAAAAAAAAAAAAAAAAGACACCCAGAATATGTTGGGTTTTTTTTTCATTTTCCACCATAAATCATACTGATGTGTTTGGAGGAAGAAGGGAAGATATCCACCCTGAAGCAAGTATTGATTATTTTAAGCGTCCACGGCACCAGCTGCTCATAACTCTCTTTCAGCAGCTAAAAGGGTTACGAGTGGGAGGCTCGGGCTGAGGCTGCTTGAGGATGGCTAATAGACTGCAAAAAGCAAATGTAGTGACTTCCAGGCTGCTTGTTGGTTCTTATGGCAAAGAAATGCCACCTGAAAAGGACTCCTGAACACATCTAATCTGTTCAACAATTCTTACTTACTTCAATACTTAACACCGGGGCGAGCGGGCAGCTTCAGAGGCCGAGAATGGGGGGCAGCCAGCAGCGGCCCGGCTCTTCCACAGCATCCTGCCTACATTTCCAGTCCTGCTAATGGTGCCCTGTCCCCAGCCCATGGCTCAGGCGGAGCAAGGCTCAAACTGACTGGAGACTGGTGGGACACGGGTGCTGTAGCGGGAAGTTTCGGTTCTCGGCACCTCAGAGGGCTCGCGCTCTTTCGGCGAGAAAAGGAACCATGATTAGTTCATGATACGATGCCTACTGGCATGTAATTAAATAATGGATCTTAGGTAGCAGTAGCAATGCTGCACAAACAGCAGTGCAATGACTTATTTCAGGGGTTTCACTGCCGTCTGAATCCCCACATGCGTTTTTGTCTTTTGAAGCCTGCCACTGGGCTCAAATGTCTACTATACCTCATATTAATGAAGTAAATAAGCAGGTTTGTTATGTTCAATTTACCCGCAATTTTTGGATACTAGAATCCATCAGTCGTCTTTTTAACTGAAAAAATGCCGAGAGGTAAGCTACATGCAAAATTAACAGAAGTTACTGTTAGTAGGTAGGCAGTAACTTCCTCTGTCTTTTCTAATATCGCTTGTAAGACTTACGGGCATTTCAAATCAAAGTGTTCAGAACCGTAGGGGCATCATTTGTTGTTAAAAGAGAGCAGAAAGGCTAGCGAACACTGAAAACAGTAAATCTTGATGTTAACGTTTAGTGAAAGAGGTACTGTTCCAAGCAGACATCAGTTACGTGACTCCGGGGAGCCCAGTGGCTCTTAATACCCAGCCCAGAATCAGGACTGCGTATCCTGATCTCACGACGAGCGCATCCCAGGCCTGCTTCCAACCACCACCCACGGTGACTCACATAGAAGACCTTTAGCTGCACCATCACCTGGTAGCTTTGTTGAAATTTATTCTTTAGGAAAAAAAAAAAAAATCTATCCAGGCAGTTCCTGAGTTCTCAAATTCTTCTTTCTAGCGTACTTTGGGCAGGTTCCTCCTTCATCAAACTTGGCAGTCTCCATCAGTTCCCCCCCCCCCCCCTCCCAAGTCATCCTGCTGTTGTGCATTTGAATCTCCTGAATTTTGTGCCACGCTTCAGGCTCAGAACAAAGCAGCTTTTGGTCTCACAAGGAAGCTTTATGATACTTCAGCCTTTAACAAGTGGACCACTTTTCGCTGCAATGGGAGATACTGATTATAGCCGATATGAAGCATGGAGCAGTTTTAAGGAACAAGATCTGTGAGAGCCCAGGATGCTCCTTTATAAACTCATGTTCCCAAAAGAGACACAAAACTCAGCTACAGCTCAACCACTGCCATTTTCCTCAGTGTTAGAAGGGATGGGGACAGACCCCAAAGTGGGTCTGATATCAATCCAGCATAAATGAAATTTAGCAGAAAATTTTCAACTGCCAAGGCAGATCTGCTTGAAGATGTTGCTGAAAATCGATGAATACAGCAGAACGACAGGCAAACTCAGTTAAAACGGTATGAAGAGGCGTGTTTCACAGCTAGCACTACCAACAACTCTCTCCATTTGCTTAAATGAAATAGAATTACTGTCCACACATTCTCATGCCCCATGCTCTTTTCTCTCTGGGCTTCCGAGCATAGCTATTTCACATCTGTATTATATTGGTTCATTATTTTTTCAATGTCAGTATCAATGCATTTAATGAATAAATATTTTCTCCAAGCATCTCCCCCATTGTTCTTGAAGATTCAGGGGGGAAAAAAATGGGAAAGTGTTTGAACAAACCTGGAGAAAAGTGAACTACTGAACAAAACGTAGCACATCACTACTTTATGCAACTAATCTATAGAAAGGTTTATCTCCCATTATTTAACAGACCAGTCAATGCTGACATCGTTTGGTATCAACAACTGATACCTACATGAAATGTAAAATTCCCAATTTGTGGTGCTAGTGTTTTACTCTTAAATCCAGCTTAACATGTTCCTACACGTTCAAACATTCATTCGCAAAATGTTTGCCACACCATAGTCAATATTTAGGTCTTACTTCTGTTCTGAGCAGTTGGGTAACAACAATACGAGAGCGGCAATGAACGGCCCAGGCAACAACTGCCAGGTTCCGCTTTTCCTTTCCACCGGCGATGCCCGTACGCTTACCTTACCCCTCTCCCGCCCCCTCCTCGCCTCCCCCAGCACGCAGAGCCCTGGGGAGCACCGGGGGCTGCCTCGGGCGGTGGGGG